AGAGAGAGAGACAAATGTGGTTACGCAGCGTTCGTAACGGTGCACGGCTAAAACAAACGCAACGGAGCTGCTCTTTTTATTTTTTTCTGCCGGCGTCCTAATCAGATCTTCTTGTGAACCCCCCTACCCCTCTTCCATTAGGACGAGAGCAAAGACCCGAGAAAGAAACGGAAAGAGAGAGAGGGGGGGGGAGTAAAAGGACCCCAGGGTACAAGTGCAGCTCTCTCTGCACCCCCTCCCCCCCTACCCCCTGTTAAACCTCCCCCACTTGTGAGACTTCGGCCCTTAGCGAAAGAGACGCACGGCAACGAACGGAACGGAGACCACGTACGACAACGGTGGTGGTAGGACGCCACCGCAACGCACTGAACTCTCACCACATTCGGCCAGATTTGTTGTTGCTGTGGTGAATTGCAGGCTAAAAGGCGTCTCGCCCCCCTCCCCTTCCCCCTGCAGGCAGCCTCGCGATGCTCGCGATGTGTTCCGTTTCACCCTCCCCCTGCACAGAGCCCTGGGCTTGGCGCGCGCCCGATGGGAGAGGCGCTTCGCTGCTCGGCTCAGGCGCACTGGAATTATGTGCAACTCTGAGCTAAATGAAGTAATTGCCGACCCAGCTCGACCCGGGCGCACTGCGAGGCGGGCCGGGCGCCGCCGGGGCGTTGATCCGCTGCGGGCGGGGGCCGGGCCTCTAGCTGCTCGGCTCTCATCCTTCTACTCGTTCTCTTCTCTAAATATTTCGAAACTCTTTGCCGATTGTGCTGAGAGATGGGAAGGGGACTGTTGCTCTTTCGGAGTTAAGTCCCACATATTTCACCACTCGTTATTGTTTGTGTGTTGTACTGACACTTGTGTACATCTTTTGTTTCTGTCAATTTATAGGAGCCGACCATGAGCGGTGTCGAGGTAGAGAAGCAGGAGAAGACGGAGAAAGAGGAGAAGACTGAAGACAAGAAGGAGATTGAAGAGGAGGAGAGGGAGAAAATGCTGAACGAGGAGAACAAGAAGCAGACGGAGGAGGCCAAAGAGAAGGAAGACAAGGAGAAGGAGGCCGATGACAAAAATGAGGCGGAGGGCAACAAGGTGTCTACCGGAGAGGTATCTAAATTTCTTCCTAAACTTGAAGCTTTATAAAATTTTAACTAAATTAGTTCCAACCCAAAATATCAGTGAAGTTAGGTTTCATTATTATTTTGATAAATACACGCATACAGTGTTTTTTGACGGGCTGAAGTACATTCAATCCTCTAAATTGAATTTGTCTTTTCTAGGTCGAGAGGAAGCGAAAGGCTTTAGAGGAGGCGACAAAGAAGGATGCCAAAGGACACATCCCCATCGGAGGCATCAGAATGCCGGGCTTCCTTCAGAGGCGCTCCAAAGCAGAAAAGGGCAAGGTACGTGTTTTCCATATTATTTTCACATTGCACGGTGATGTCATTCATATGGCACCTCGTCGGCGTTCTCTCATTGAGTAAAAACATTTTTGGTCGGGTCCCGCGCCCACTTGTGAGGCCCGACGGGGTGAAACAAGGGTCCTGGGTGGAGAGAGCGGAGCCAGACGTGCACAAGGGCAACACAAGGGCTGGCTCGAGGGGGCGGGCGGGGTGGTTGTGGTTGGGGGGAGAAGGGGTGTTCTGTGATTCATCCCCAGACAAGGCCGCCCATAGTGGAAAAGGGGGGGGGGGCGAAGGGAAGGGTTCCCACGGATCACCAGTCCGCCTGCCCTTCCTCCTGAACGATGTTGAGTCACATGGAAACGGACAGCCCTGACGTAATCCATAAGACCGAACTTATCTATTCTTCGTGAGAGTTTTCTTACAGTAAATATGGGAATGATGAATGTCCAGGGAAATGCTCGAGGATCTGGTGTTATCAGGTCAAGTGCAGATTGGGGCATTGGGGATCGGGTTGTCCCGACGACGTCGTGTGTGCTGGAGTGCGGCCGGCTGACTCACCCCTGTACTGTAACAACTCTTCCCCTTTGTTCCCTCAGGAGCCGGACCCGGAGGAGGGGGTGGACCTGCTGGAGGAGCCCGGCGCCGGGGCGGGCGCGTCCAAGGGCGAGGGGGACGGGGAGGCGGCGCGCGAGGGCTTCGGGCCGCGGTGCCAGCGCAGCCTGCGCCGCATGCTGCCCGCCATGTCGTCACTGCCCAAGGTGACGCTGCCGCGAGGGGTGCCCGCCGTGCGCCCGCACCTCGCCAGTCTCAAGCTCGCCAACCCCTTCGCCAAGAAGAAGAAGGAGCGCGACGTGGAGGCCGGCCCCACCGTGACGAGCGAGGAGAACGCCGCCCCGGACGAGACGACACCCGTGCAGGAGGCCGAGCCCGGCGCCGGCGCCAACGAGAAGGAGATCGCCAAGGCCAAAGAGGCGGGCGTCGAGATCGTCCCGGACACGCTCAAGAACGGCAAGGACGTGGACGTGGACGGCATGGAGACGGTGCAGCTGGACGCTGAGGTGAGGAACGCCGGACGGGGATAACTCTCCCTTCTCGAGTCCCATTTTCTAATAAAATTCAGCGTATTCATTTGTATTGTTCATGCCGATCTGCAGGAAAAGGGCGACCCGGAGAAGGGTGCCGCAGGGGGTGCCGATGCTTCCAAGGACATCCCACTGCTGGAGCGGATCCGCGGCTACAAGCACAAGACTGTCGCGGGTGGCGTCATTGCCTTCGTACTGGCGCTCATCATCATCGTCTCGATCGCGGTCTCTGGTCCTCACCACGACTTCGCCAAGGGGCCGATTGCGGACGGCAAGTTTGCTACGGCCACGGTCTCCTGCGGGCTCGTTCAAGGGTGAGATTTGTGTTTTTCTATCAAACTGACCCCAAGATACATTTTCTTTTATCTTCCTTCACTTATTCTTGTTAATTCTTTTAAATTAGTTTTATCTATTGTATTTTTTTGGCAGTATCTTGGAAAGTGGTGCATACACATTCAGGGGCATTCCCTACGCTCGTCCTCCTGTGGGCAAATTGCGCTGGCAGCCAGCCCAGCCCATGAACAACTTGGAGCACTGCTGGAATGGCACATTCCCTGCCCACAATTCTTCAAACTACTGCTGGCAAATCTTCCCTGAAGATGTAAATCTGGATTATTATTACAATTTTTATTATTATTGTCAGTAAATTATAAGGTTCTTCATTTTGTAAACATTTTGTGGTCTTTTTTTAGCAATCAATGAATGGTGCTGAAGACTGTCTGACTCTTGATGTCTTCACCCCTCAAGTGAGCTTTGAAAATCCTCTTCCAGTTGTTGTAGTGGTGGGCTCCTCTCATATGACAGGAGGCTCAACTACACCGCTACTGCAGCCAACAGCAAAACTCTCTCGCGCAAAAGAAGTTGTATTTGTACGCCCAAACTTCCGACTTGGGGTAAGTTAGTTCTCAGCATATATTGTTTTAGTTTTGGCTAATACATACCTGCAAAATCAATTACAAGCTTTTTGCCTTTTTTTATTTTAGGTTTTAGGATTCCTTACTACCAATGCTCTGACCAAATCAACATACCCTCCAACAAGTGGCAACTATGGCTTATCTGATATCAAACTAGCTTTAGAATGGGTGAAGCAAAATATTGAAGCATTTGGAGGTGACCCCAAATCTGTCACTGTTCTTGGATATCGGGCTGGTGCAACATTAGTCACTGCTCTTACGTCTTCACCTGCTGCTAAAGGTAAATACCAATCTGAAGATGAGAGCTCAAAAAATATATATGTTGAATTTTACATATGTTCCCCTTTTTTCTGTAGGTTTGATGAAGCGTGTTTGGGTGACCAGTGGATCAGCTGACTTCCCTGGAAGGCCTTTGTCAGAATCACAAACTGATTCCTCACCTTTCCTAGCTCGCTTGCAACGGTTTTGCACTGAGGATAGAAACTCCTCAATCTCTGGTAAACTTTTAATTTACAGAAGCGATAATTTTCCATTTGTCTTAATCTTTATTCATGTAATGTTATTTCAATTTGTCAACCTTAGGAATAACTGCAGACTGCTTGCGTTCCATTGAAGTGGAAGATCTGTTGGACGCTATGCCAAATGAATGGAGACCATCAATGCCTGACCTTCCAGCTCCCGTTGGTACAGCTGGTATGCCAAGCACTCATCAGTGGCTTGCATTAGATGGTGACATTCTGCGAACACATCCCTCTGAAGTTTGGGAAAAATGGGAAAATGAAGGCAGCCCTCTACAGATTGTTATTGGTTAGTACCATTGACAAAGCAGAACCCTTTTATTAAAAAAGAAAATTTTCAACTTTCTTTCCTTTTAGAACTAATTATAATTTCACATCTTCTTATACATTTTCAGGTGCCACTGCTCATTCTGATGCTACTGTTGAACTTTACCGCAATCTGTCTGATGCCTCCTCCAATAATGCCAATGTCAATGAGCAAAACATTATTAACCACATTGAGCACAGTGTTCTGGGTGAACTGAATCTGACAAAGGAGGCTATAAACCGTTACAATGCAACATGGCCAGGTTTGGCTGCGATTGTCTCTGATATTCGGACTGTCTGTCCTCTCAATGTCCTCGCTACCAAAATGCCATCAGCATACTTCTATGTGACAACTTTCCCAATCAGTGGTAAGTACAATCAAAATTCATTGACAACAATAAATAGAAATTGATCAATTACCCCTTTCCTTTTAAAAAAGAGATAATATCTTGAGCATTGACTCAAATCAGGACCCTTTTCTTTGTCAATGGATCCAATAATTTTAAAAAGACAAGATCATTTTTTTTTTTTACCTATTTCATTTTTTGGATTATAAAAGAAAACAACAAAAAAATTCTTACATTTGTGTATTTAAAAAATTGGACTAAAAGGCTAATGTACCTTCAAAAATCGTACCGCTCATGTCGTGGTGCATCAAAATTTTAAATTAGGCAAAATTTTAAATTAGACAAAATTTTTAAACCTCCTAGGTTATAAGGGATGCGGGAGGGGCCGATGGTCTGATGCTCCTAAACGATTAAGTGGAAAGACAAAGTGGCCTGCCCCACCGCTGGGCTGTGAAGGTAAAGCCATTATCCCACATTATTGTACCCATGGCATGATGCATGTCATCCAACAAAAATGTAATTTTTAAAATTTAATCTAGCAGATCACTTTCAAAAAAAAGAAAAACAGACGATCTAGTTTTGGTTTGGGTTATAGTCTATTCTACTTTGCAATAGTCCCTGTTGTTTTGGAGTACAATATGAATAAGAAACATTAATTTTTTGATTACCCATAGTAGTCATGAAATATGAAGAATGTAGAAATTTGCACCGTGTCAAAATGTTCTTGTACTTTCATTAGAACCTGCTTCCAAAAACTTATTTGTTTTGCTCCTAAAAGTATACTTTATTATTTGGTACTATATCTATAGAGTTTGTTTTGCCTATTTTTTTTCTCAGTAAAGATGTATCATACTTTTCTTTTTGTCTGTAAAGTAGACTCTAGATCTACTCCCAGGGACCACTCAATTGTTTGCCTTCTTTCATTTTAGCTTATTTTATTTTTTCCAGTTTCCAAGTCTGATGATGAACTTCAGTACCAAGAACCACTGGCTGAGCTGGGTATTGATGTGGCTGCCATTATGGGTCGAGTGGAAGGAGCTACTCCTGAGGAACGCAGATACATTACAGCTATGCAACAGTTGTTCTATCAGTTTGTACGATTCGGCGAGTTGCACCACAGCAGTGATAGCTACACTGGACGTATCCTAGTAGTTGATCAAGACACACTTCCCAAAGTTGAATATCCCAACTGTAACTTCTGGATTCAAAAGGATGTTGTTCCAAGGTTTGGTCATCGTAATTAGTGAATTTCTTTTTCTTCAAAGAAGTTCCACTAGAATTGTGTGATTTGTCTTCTTTGCCAAAGACGATTTTTCCTCCCCCATTTTTTCGCCATATTTGATCAAGTGCTCTAATGTTTTCATTTTTACACTAGTTTTAGATGACATAAGTTCTATGTCATACTATTCATATTAGTCTTTGGCTGTTTCTTCTCCAAATTGGTCTGCGCCAAAACAGACATTGACTGTTTATGGCAAGGTCTTTTAATCAAGAGATCATTTAAGTCAGTCTTTTTCATTCGTTCCATAGTATTCTCCACTACTCAATATTTGTTGGTTCCGTTTACAGTAATCCTCCCTCTTAATTGTGGTGAAATTCAATACTAAACATATCATGTTTTAGTCCAATAAACTCCTCACCACAAACAAAGTTAAATCATACTGCTACTGAATGTGTGAATATTCTCCCATTGACATCACATATACTTATTGCAGTTTTGATTCTATTAAAAGTCTGACAGAAACAAAAGACATGTTAAATTTATTATTTTGAGTTATTATCTGCAATGTAAATTTGCACATGTGTAAATGTGATTTTTTATTATTTTTTTTGCTGTGTGTCTGTGTGTGTGTATGTGTGTACGTCTGGATTTGGTATGGAAATGTGAGTGATAAAATGTATTGAATTGAATTTTGATGTGAAATGATGGAAGCGTACTGTTAATCATTTGCAGGTGTGGATGTCTCTTTTTAAGTTTTAGTTTGTTAACAAAGTTGCCTTAAGAAAAATGCTGCTTTACAATGTAAGGGTACAGATTTCTTTTTGTTCACTCTGGGCTTTCTAATTGTGATTTTGATGAGTCAATTTCATTAAGGTTTACTTTATGGTGTGTGTATCCAAAGAATGTCTTGTCTATGGCACATACTCCCTGACTGAAAATGATAGCCACTTTTACCCTGCAAACACAAGGATGTTTTAAACTTGAGACTGAATTACAGTTTATAGATTAAACCTGCTCAAACTGAAACTTGGTTCAATTTTATGCCATTTTATGTGTGGTCACGGCATGGTTTGGTAAATTATTAATCACTTGGAAATTGCAGTTTAGATGCTATCAACTTGTACTTAACTGTTTGAATAATTTTGATTTTGATTCCAGAACCTTCTTGCTTTTTTCTTAAGTTACATGCTGTTTTCTTACGCATTACTATATATAGCCAAAGGCAAGAACTTTCAGTTTTGATATTATAGATCATTCATTATATACCAAGTGTTTTGACTTTGTTTTTTAAAACAATATGGAATATGATTTATGATTATAGCTGACAACTTATGTAAATTAATGTTTCTTTTGTAAAGTGCAGTCAGTCAACGTAATCATGTACTTCCAACTTTACTGTAGTCGTATTCTAGCTGGTCTGCTGCTTTGTATAGATGGCATTAGAAGCTTGTCCTTTCCAGTACTCAAGTAGAATTTGATCGCTCCAGTGTATTAAATTTTGTAATTCCTAATTAATTACAATTATTGACAGGAATTCTTGCTTGTTTCTGAACTGGTGCTGAGCTTCAAATGATTTATTTGGTTGAAGAGAGCTATCTTCTGTTCTTCCTGTGTAAGATGAGGCAACTTAAACCATTGACAATGCAGTCTAGTTTATTTATGTTTATGTATATGTAGTTGTATTTGTTTTTTCCAGTCAAAGGTAAAAAAAACAGCTTAGGTTTAAATTTTTTGAATTAGTTTTTCTTGTGATATAATGACCCATGAACTGAAGAGAATTAAGATGATACTGTACTCGAAAAGTCTATTTCTTCCGCCAACTTACCTTTCTGTATCTTTTATGTTCTAGAAATGTCCAAAGAATGAATTTTGTCCAGTAAGGACTTTTAAACCTGTATTCTTGCACTAATTAATTTACTTCATGACAGTGAATTGCCATGTATTCTGATCCTCAGTTGACTGATTTGACATTAAATTTTTTTAAGCTCTCTTCTTATATTTGTTACTACTATTATTTCAATCTTCAGCTCCAGGTTCCGGAGATGATGTGTTGTACCAAAAGGTTACTCTCGAGACATCAAAAGACAAGGCTCACTCTATTTGCTGTTAAATGATACCACCATGACAAAAATCAATAGGGTAGAAGAATCGATGGATGGGCATCTGTATAGTTGAAAAACAAAATTAAAACCCACTGATTTATTAATAAACACAAACATTATCACAAAACGATATTTCTTAGATAAAATGTGAAACTTGACATGAAAGTATGACTAGACAGCAAAGGTTGGATGAATCAGTAGGATGCATGCATTATACACACATCTCCACTAAGTGGATATGTACACGCACATGTACTAGTTCTGTGCGAAAACAATCACTGTAGAATCACACCACAGAGAATTTTACGATTTTGCAAAACAGAAGTCTGTGATTACACAATTGATACACCATACAAATTAGGAAAGCCAAATGTTCAAACTTACAATAGTCACCAATTTAAAACTCATAAAAGTTCCTCACAAATTCCCATGCCAAATGTACTCTCAGCCGTTGATGACAAAGCTGGTGGCTCGCACAGTTAAATTCTTTGGTCCCAATAACTTCAATGAAGGTTATTGTCTGTCCTTCCAGTACTTTTCAAAGAATGAAAATAAAATTACACAAAAACAGCAGCAATATGAAGAAATGTAGAACTTAATGGCTTCATCAATATGAATATTTGAGATGGTGAAGATTACCTTCTTTACAGCCCAAGAGTGCAAAGCCCTGAGAATTCTTTTCTTAAAGGGGGAAAAAAAACAACTTTACATATAACTGCTGTAATGCGAATTAAATGCAAATTAAAAGTGGTCTTCATTAGCAAAAGGAAGCTCAGGAATAAAACTGCTTCACAGTCATAGTTTAGACTTCAGTCTCAAAGAGTACCACACCATGAAAGTAGGATTACACTTCTTTCATGAATGCAAAATTTTGAAGCATTCTTTGTAATTCTAATAAGTCTCAAAAATTGGGAGATGCAGACTTTCCATGAAAGGAATGAGCAAGTTTTAAAACCGGTCACTTTTCACTAGGATTCACTAGGATACAGCTCCTTTAAGTTCTTAGACAAGAATTATTTCAAAAATTTAAGTTACTGATTTTTTTTTAGTCGAACTAAGAATAGCTAAGTACTGTCTAGAGTCTAAAAGAAGCAGCATAATGACAAACGTTAGCTTTTCAAATACTTCCTAGAATGTACAGCAATTATCAATCATTTCCAAACAAAAGGAGAAAACATTTGCTATGAATTATGACATGAGATCTAGTGTTTTTGTGCTCATAAAGCAATAAAATAGAAATTTTGACAGAAACAGTCAATTGGTTCAAGAACAGGCATATAAAAAACAAAGCTTGATTCAGACAAATAACAATAGCAACAACAACTGAATATTTACCCAGTTGAATGAAGAGCTTCGCACCGGAAATAGAAAGCAAATCTAAACAGAAATAACAACAACGAAAAGACCAACAATCAGACGTGATATGCAACATTAGCAAACTTCAAAACAACAAACAATTCCATGTGATTGTTTATTTGTTATGCACAAATTACTTAAACAACTTAACATCCCAAGTACTTATAAAAATGTAAAGAGAAGAAATTTTTGTACAGTCACCAGTACTCAGCAGGGTAACCTAAATCATATCTTGCCAAATATTTGTAAACGTTCTCTATGAAGAAGACAGCAAGGATAAAGAAAATTAATTTCTGATTGATACACTAACCTTGTGATCAGATGATCAAGTAGCCCATGTGCACAATTGATTTTCTTGGGGGAAATCCTTCCCATTGCAACAGAGTGCACGTGAGGGAGGAAATTTCTCCCTTGCCTTCAAGGGCCACCTAATATCTTGAGGAAACTCCTGGTACTTTCAATACAGATAGTCAGCATCACATCACAGAACAAAGTATATGTCTTGGCCAGAACACATAAAACACAAATCAAAATAATAATTTAACTTCTATCACCAAAATGCACCAGGGAATATTTCAATAACCATAAGTTCCATCAGCTCAGTGACAAGACCACAAGATTACACTTATTATTTCATACAACAGCTTACCTGCCCCAGATATAACACTATGAAAACACGCATTTCCACCCACAGTATTGCTAAATAGGTTCCAGACCGCAAGTATTTTCCGATTGTATTATATTCACTGATTCAAAATTTATATTTGTTTTGATACAATCAAGTAAAATATTTGTACATAGCAAATGATAAAAAGTAAAGAAATATATTTTTAGAATATTGTAACAAAAGAAGTTGTGGAACACCACAGGGGGCAAGTAAGAAATAAACCTAGCTTGACCTCACATTTGGTCAATCTCCTTACAGACCTAATACATTTGGCTCAATTTTGGCATTACAATAATCACTTAAAGCAATCTTTATACACTTACTTACATGGACAACTGCTAATAGTGTCCAAATTTGTCACAAGAGATTACAAGATATACATAAGTAACATAAATAGGCAAAGCATCTAAAGCTGGATTCTCTGTTTCTTTTACAAATACAGTATGTATTTACAGGCATAATGAAGCACACACACATGCATTGAGACTAACACTTTCACATGCAGAATAAATACGCAGATTTCTTTCCTGAGCACACAAAAGTGACTTGATATTTCAAAATATGTGGTAACATTTTGGATTATAAACATAGTCTTTGTGAAACCTTAGCTATTCAAGAATGCATTTAAAAATTAAACTTATGTTCACTCATTTACATATTACAGGAGGGATGCTATATATACCATAAGGAAGTCACATGCATCAGATTGATAAATACACTGCACAACACATTACAAAACTTATTTTCTCTTGGTTTGAGACACATTATGAACACACAAATGAAGGATACAAAAAGAGTACAATTACATATTTGGAATGTCTATTGGAAGATAACATGGAGTGTTCACATTTGAACTTAATTGACAGTACCTGGAATAAAAAATGGAAGTGTAGATAAAAGACCATCAGTGAGCGGAAGAGCGGTCAAAAATGAATCAAATGTGATAAATATGTATTAAGTCAGCAAAGTTAAAATGAGATCAGTAATAGCTGCAAGTTACATGATTGAAAAAGCAGACACGCTGCAAACATTGTATGATTCAGTCATAGAATTTTATATTCTTAGATGGAATAAAAGAAAAGTAAAAAAAGAGCCACTAGTGACCCTTTTAAAATAAAAGCAACCTGTGAATCTACATAATTTGTTTGAACAGGATGCATAAGAACATGGGACTGCAGTTTGAGACCACACTGAACCAACATACCTAAGTTAAATGGTGAAAAGTAAAAATCCATCAATGCCAAAAATAAAAACACACATAAGAAAGAGATCATAAAAAATGAGACACACTAAATCCAAGCTTCTTTTAAGATTTGTCACATGAGCACACAACCCTTACGCGAAGAGTGTCCGACGCGCTCGGGTAGCTGTTCTCATATGTGTACTTGAGGTGGAAGGTGTCCATAGCTACATGAGCGCTGGATGTCCGCATGGATACGTTCAAGTGTTTGATATATAACATGAAAACTAGGACGTAGTGCCGGCTTCAGATTCCAGCAAGCTCGCATTAGTTCATAAATTGAGCGATGTGTATTTTCTGGGCATTGCAAAACATGGCCATCTTTTATATACTTTACTACCTCTTCATGTGTCATACCGTAGTATGGCTGTAGTGCAAAGGAGAAAATTTCCCATAAACATACACCAAAGGCCCAGACATCTGATTCAATGGTGTATTTGTTGTACATGATACTTTCTAATGGCATCCAACGGACGGGTATAGCATCATTGTCATTTCCCTTGTAGTAATCTTGGAGATAGATTTTTTGGGAGAGACCGAAGTCTGCAATCTTCACAACCATTTGGTCATTACAGAGGCAGTTTCGAGTGGCAAGGTCACGATGAACAAATTTTCTCTCAGATAAATATTTCATGCCTGCAGCAATCTGGACTGATATCTTTAGCAGATCCAATGGAGTCAATTGAACATCTCGGAAAACATCTCTGTAATTTAAAAACACAAAAATTAATACAACTCAAAACTTCAGGAAAAACAAAGATATTTGAAAATTGTAAAACACTAAAACAAACCTTTCTCCATCAGAACTACGAACTATATAATTACTGGGTGAACATGTTCGTAAAAATTCATTAAGATCACCCCTACCCATGTATTCAAAGAGCAAACACATTGGCCTTCCAATTGCACAGACTCCCAACAACTTCACAATGTTAGGGTGGTCAAACTCTGCAAGGAGACAAGCCTCCCTTTCAAAGTCTTTCTGTAAGTCTTCTGAAGCCTCATCTTTCAGCATTTTAATTGCAACAAGGGTGAATTCTTCACCCTTCACTAGCCCTGGTGCTTTAGCCTGATATAAATAAAAAAACATAAATTAAACACATAGACAATTTCGTTTCTCAAAAATAGTAGTAAATTTTCCTGTAATTACCTGAAAAACTCTTCCAAATGCCCCCTGTCCTAGATCTCTGATGTAAATAATATCATTTCGAGGGAATTCTAGTTTCTCTAGCTTGGGATTGAGCTGGGCTCCTGTACGATGGTAAGCCATATTATCTGGCAGCTTGTCCAAGTCAATATTATTTAGATCCTGAGAGAATAAATAAATATTTGTAACATTACGAATATTTTCTAAATTTAGGACATAGTTAAGAAGGTACATTATGAAGCACTCACTTGATTTACTGGTGGTGTATACCCGTTTTGAAGCCTACGTTTGATTAAACGAGAACAAGCTATGAGCAGTAAAAGAGTGAGAGCCAATGTAATGAAACCAACAACTGCCAATACAGTGATAAAAGTAGGTGAAAACAGATCATCCATTTTTAAGTCCCAAATATCCACATCTGGTATGATACTGTCTGTGGTGTTATCTGAAAATTTAAGAAAAGGAGCAATCAGGTACAACTTTAATTGCTATAATTTTAGGAGATGGTTAGAAAATGTTTAACATACCACACAATGGAATATCACAATGTTGCCAACGAACTATGGGGTCCATTGTGTAACACCATGGGGCATGCTCTTCTCCACCAGCATTGCGGCAATAATTCTCTGCATTCTGTACTTCAGGAAAGACATTTGGAGGGCGATCATGTTCATGAGGTTCTTGTACATCCCACTTCTGGCAGGGCAAACCACCCTTTGTAACATTCACAAAACCAAGATAAAATCTACCACGCCCTTTCACACAATCCATAGTGATTTCATCCTTTCTAATTTCGGTGAGATTTGCTGGAGAGCAAACTGAGCCCTCAGGCTGGTACGGAGGGGAGCTCACAGTAGAATTTTCAACCAATTTAGCTTTGGAAAGGGAGGGAAGAGCTGCACAGTTTGGTAAGCGGAAAGGCCCTCTTGACTCAAAAGTCAATTTGTTGTCTTCAACTAAAGCCCAGTCATTGTAGCAGAATAATTTACTGACAGCCAAGCAGTCTTCTCGGCAAAGTGGCAATGGGGCCTGATGTCCACCTTGCATTGTGCATTTTGGAAAGGCAAAGGTGCAGAGAAGTTGCTGCAATGGAAAGGAATATTAAGAAACTACAAACCAAAACTGGTTACAGTTTGTGGGATGATGCTCACCTCCGCATTACTCCGACATGGCTCTTTAAGCTTTGAGTCCATTTCTTCCCACAAGTTTTGGACAATCTTTTCGCTGAGCCAGCCTGATCCTGGACTCTCATTGTCGGATACATTGTACCAGACCCAATCAGAATTTGCAAGATATTTGCGGCAAACTTTTCCATTGTAGGGAGCACAAAATCCCGACGGTTGGGGCACTGTTGAAACTAAAATGCACAAGAAATTAGTGATTACTCATCAAAAATCTAAATATTGTGATGGAAGCAATGGGCGATTTATGACAAAGAGAATTTAGAATATAAACTCACCAGTATCGAGAACCACATGTTGAATCATCGAAATTAGGACAATGCTTACAAGATTTATTATATGAAGCTTCATGATGACTATTTTTGAATGATGGTATAGTGCCAGATAACACTTGTGTTTGGTCAGATTAAAGACAAAACATCAGAATCACATTTTTGAAATCAACCTGGTGGAGAGGTACAAAACAAGTATTAATACCCCAACACCTCAAAATAGAGACATATATCATTGCTATCCAAATAAAAATGTAAGGGCTGAACCATAACAAACGATAACCTAATGCTTTAAAATGCACACTTGACAAGAACAGCACACATTGGTATACAAACTGATTACTCACAACGCTAACAGACTTCGTTTGATTTGAAATGTGTGCACTCAAGAAAACTCAAGACTAATTCTTCTCCCAAAAAACGAACCAAACCAAACAATCCCTCCCAAAGGAGCTGTTGACGTTTTCGGGGTTCATTCATGAGATTAAATTAACATATTTCACTGGGTTTCCGATTTAAAAATCGTATTAATTTGATGGAAAACAAGCTCTACAGTGCAGAAAGTTCCAGTTTCCATTCATAAAATGTAGCAGAATGAAAGAAATCTGCATTAAAAATTAACAACCGGTCACGAAAGATAAGCAGAAGTCGGCCCAGTCGTGAATGGTGAGCACACCGCCATCTTCATCTTCCGACTCACTGCCTGCTATGCTATTCGTTTTAACTTCAGTGTCACAAGCACAAGATTTGAAACGATAGGGTGCCGACAACAGACACAAACAAAGTGAAATATCACAAATGTCATAAAATTGTCCATTGCTTGTCGATCAAACATTGCCATGGCAGAAGCGTCTTCATCGGGGGAACCGTCGAAACGTCCGAAAATGGATGACAATGACGACGAAAATGACAATGATGAATGGGTTGGCCCGCTTCCCAGTGAGGCCGCCCAACCTAAGCGCAAAAAGAGTAAGTATTCATTCTTGCTAATTTATTCAAACTTTTTCTTCATTCTATAAAACAACATTAATTTATTACTCACTCTTACTTATCTTAGACGAGTTTCCTCTCATTTTAATTTTTTGTCCAAGTTCGTGTCTACCTAACCCCACTGATGCTGATGCTCTTCATTCATGCAGTTTTTGCATCAAATTAAATGTCTGCGGTTTTTTCTTTTCAGTCCTTCAGTATGAAAAGCTGTACCTTGAAAATTTGCCTTGCTCGGAAGTGTATGAAAAAAGTTTCATGCATCGAGATGTCATTACCCATGTAATTGTAACAAAGCAAGTTGATTATTCTCACCCACTTCATAATTCTTGTAAAGTAATGTGAGAGTTCTATAATTTAATCATGACTTTTTTAAATTTCTCAGAACTGAATTTGTGATAACAGCCAGCTGTGATGGTCACATAAAATTCTGGAAAAAACAACCAGACTCTATTGAGTTTGTCAAACATTTTCGTAGCCACCTAGCTCCCGTCTTAGATGTAGCGACTAATGCAAATGGTAGCCTTTTCCTATCATGTGGTGCAGATAAGGCGCTTAAAATATTTGATGTTATTAACTTTGGTGAGTCTTTCTTCCATGTATTTACTGTAAGGTTCTATATCAATTACCTAATTTTCTCTAATTTTTGGTCTTATAATCTTTCAGATATGATCAACATGATTAAATTGAATTTCATGCCAAATAGGGCAGAGTGGATTCACAGTCCAGGAGATGCTATTAATGCTCTTGCAGTGTATGTTTTTGCAAAATTGAAATGAAGTTCCTTTATTTTACTTCACCTTTAAAATGTTATCTTAATCTTAGGTCTGAAGCTGACAGTAGCAAAATATATATCTTTGATGGTCAAGGAAAAAGTACACCATTGCATGTTTTGGAAAAATTGCACACCCAACCAGTTGTCTGCATGAAAGTATGTATTTGTAGCTCCACATTTCTTTCAGAAGACTGTATTTGCATACTTTGTACTCATTAACTCATTTTATCTTTTATGTTCCCAGTATAATGCAGCTCTCTCTATTGTTGTATCGGCTGACAAAACAGGGATTGTCGAGTACTGGACAGGACCTAAATCAGACTACAAGTTTCCAAAAAATGTTCTTTTTGATTCCAAGTTGGACACAGATTTATTTGACTTCATCAAAAATAAAACATACCCAACCAGCATTGCATTCCCTCCTGAAGGGAATAAAATGGCTATTCTTTCTGCTGATCGAAAGGTACCTGTTCTACTGTATGTTGAAGTGGTAAATTCTGCCTCTTTCACTAATTTGTCTCAATTTTTCTGACTCCAGATTCGTATTTTTAACTTTTTAACTGGAAAACTAACAAGGATTTATGATGAATCCCTGTCAACCTTTACTCAACTTCACCAAACAAAACAACAGTTACCCAACATGGAATTCAACCGCAGAATGGCAACGGAAAGAGAATTGGAAAAGGCAGACCCTCCCATGTTTGGAAACATTTTGTATGATGAAAGTGGTCACTTTATCTTATATACAACTATGTTGGGGATCAAATTAGTTAACACTTATAACAATAGGTGTATTATGTTTATTGGCAAATCAGAAAATTTACGTCCTCTTCACATAGGTCTATTTCAGGTTTGTTCAGTCTCCCCCCTAATGTGTGAAGTTGATGTTTCTATATATATATATGCCATAGAGAATAATGTTTGTCATTCATGCAGGGCCGTGCTCGAAGGACGAAAGCTGCTGTAACGGTAGAATTAGAAGCCTCTGAAAATCCAACTTTGGACAATGTTCAGTCTGATCCCACTCTATTCTGCACTGCTCATAAAAAGAACAGATTTTATCTCTTCACAAGGTAACTTATTTTGGTTTTCTCAACCTAAGCATTTTACTTATCATATACCTCAACACTGGTAAATTTCTCTTCCAGGAATGCTCCTGACGATACAAAGAGCCATGATAATGAAAGAGATGTGTTTAATGAGAGACCCTCAAAGGATGATATCATTGCTGCTACTGAAGCTACAGGTAAGGTCAATGACCTCAAATTTCTTCTGTTTTCCACTACTGCAATTCAAAATCTCACTGTTAAAAATTTAATTTTTAGGTCTTCAGAAAGTCTATGAAACTGCAATTGTTCACACTGCAATGGGTGACATTCACATAAAATTATTTTTGGACTGCCCTAAAGCTGTTGAGAACTTTTGTGTCCATAGCAAAAATGGGTATTTCAATGGACATATTTTTCATAGAGTCATCAAAGGTTTCATGGTGCAAACAGGAGATCCAACAGGTTTGCAGATTTACTTAATTTATCAATGCTTTAATCAGGGTGCTAAAAATCTTGTAAGAATACTTTTCAACTGTCCCTATAATAATCTTTTTCTTATCTTGAACAGGCACTGGAACTGGGGGTGAGAGTATATGGGGAGGAGAATTTGAGGATGAATTTAGGCCTAATCTTCGCCATGACCGTCCATATACCGTAAGTATGGCCAATGCTGGGCCTAATACCAATGGGAGTCAGTTCTTCATCTCAGTAATACCCACAGTAAGTACACAAATTTATTATCAGATTCTTTTGTCTGTAAATTATTTTATGCAAAACTTGAATTATTTTTAAAATTTTGTCCAGCCATGGCTCGATAACAAACACACAGTATTTGGACGTGTGGTTAAAGGCATGGAAGTAGTCCAAAACATCAGCAACGTGAAAACCAATCCTAAAACGGACAAACCATATGACGATGTCCAAATTATCAGTGTCACAGTAAAGTAATGCCCTAGCTTTCTTTTAAAATGAATTTATAACTTGTACACATTCTTTTATGATTTTGAACAACCGTTAACTCACTATGGTCATTTTATTCACGCTCATGAATTCCAAGAAATGTGCTAAATATATACCAACATCTCAATACAAGTGGCTTGTGGTTATTCGTTGTCGCTCCAAACGCTTCCCCGTGCGGGGGCCTTCCCTCTCCCTCTCCCGCCGTGCGACGGCCGGTCGAACAAAGAGAGTGCCGAGCACTATGGTACTCGATCGGCTCGGCGCCGACCTTGCCCAGCCCAGCAGGCGCGCCTCGCGACCTCAGCCAACAGCAGCACCCCAGTCTCACTACAAAGTCCAGGAGGGGGGCGGGCTATGGGCTGCTCGTTCGTTGTAGCGTGTGTTTTCCAGTCGCCTACCTCGTCCCAAAACACATTTCAGAACGTCCCTAGATTTTATGCCATATTTTATTTTTTCTTGTGACACCTTCGTAAAGTCTTCGAAGGGGGCGAAAGTTCGCCGTTTCACCTCGTGAGATCGCTCCCTCTTATTTTCGAGAGCTCCTGGAAAGACTCTTCTTTTCGCGAGCGCGCGGCGGGCGGCCGGCGCCGGCGTCGTGTGCCCGCGGGGGCCTTCTGCCTTGGCGCCAAGGTCGCGCTCGCGCTGCCGGGAAGCGCTCGCCTCGCTCGAGCAGCGCAGCGGCGGCGCGGCGCGCGGGCCAGGCATTCCCTTCACTTGTTAGCTCTCCAGCCTGCCACACGCCGCCGGGGCTGTCTGATGTCTCTGAATGCAATCGGAGAGTCTCTTCTGTCGCGGAGTATATCTGCTGCGCACGCTTCGGAGCGTGATTGATAGGAACTGCTCTTGCTCTTGATGCCATGCCGGCGCAGCCTTTGGCTTCCGACAAGATCGCATAGCAGTGAAAAAAATAAAACAAGAAGAGCATCAGGGCATCAAACATGTTTGATACATTAGGAGAAACCTCGTTCTTTACCCAAGTTTGGTCTGGTGTGATTATGAAATGAAAACAGAAAGATCATTGTTGTGAATGACCGCTCTTCAAAACTTTTCGCGCCGACGCAGTTTTAGCTTTTCTCAATAGATGCCGCTGTTCGCGCATGCGCTTGATTGTTGTTTTCGTGTTAGAAGAATTTCATTTGAGATAGGTTTTAATCATTATGAGAACCAAAAAAGGTTATAACATGATTGTTTTAAGTTGAAACATTAACGGCTAGCCTATTTTTAGTTGTTTAGCCAATTTTTTTCAGGTAAAACTTATCTCTATTAAGATATTTGTCCGTGTAGAAAAACCATCCGAAACGCACGCTCGACCGGCGATTTTTTCGACCTTATTTCTGAAATTTCTTTAAATTTTGCGTAATAAACCGAAAAAAACGTCTATTATTGATTAGTTAGGCCGCCAAGACCTACAGTTTGATACATTTGGCATAGTTGTTGGTGCTGTGGTTACTGAGATGAATCGAGAGACTAAATTACACCAGACCAAGCACAATACTCGTTCTTCCACCTCCGAGAGGGAAGTGAAAATGGAGGTAAAGAACGAGTAAAAATACGGGGAATGTAAAAAAAAAATATCGTGAAAGCAGATGATACAAATTTAAGGATATGTCTGTGCCCTAATTTTCTCTCATTTGTTTATGGCTGTTTGTCACTTTTAGCAATTGCTTTCTTGCAATTCAACGGACTAGCGGCATGGCATAGAGGAAGAGATAGGATAGGGGGCAGCAGGCAGCAGGCAGGCCGGGCGGCATCCCTGGCTCAGTATTATTGGGTATTGTTGGTGGGCACGGGCGGCGGCGGCGGCGGCGGGCGGGGCCGGCGACTTTTCGCGCCCCTTATACATCTGGGTGACGTCATGCGCTTTGGTTCTCTGCCCTTCTCGAGAGAACAAGCTGCTGACACCTTAAAGTTTTATATATATATATATGTTTTATGTTTAGTCTAAAGCTACTTAAGGTATCATCTGCTAAAAAAATAGATTTGTGTAGTGTCCGCGGTGTTGTGCGTTATCTTTCTCTCGCGGCGCGCTCCGGCCCATCCCGCGTTGTTGGGAGGGACCGGTATACATAAAGCTCGCACGCTTCGGTTCCGGGGAGGGGGAGGAGTGGAGTACATTTGTACATTTGTCACAACTACATCGGCGAGAATGTTTCTTGAAGTCCTTTGTTAGCAAATATTGTAGTGGGATTTGCCGTCATTATACCGGGGTGGCTGTTTTGCCCGCATAGCGCCCAATCGGCCACCTTTGGGGTATACTGTACCATACTTACAGGCAACGAATTGCCTACCCTCGCCCACCGCGAAGTATGCAACCCGCTCTTGTGGTACAGGGAAACCCCCAAAATATTGTAGGAGTAGGCGGCCTATTTGGGACACTCTATAGAACTGGGGTCGCACGCCTAGAAAAAACGCACACCCGCAGTGCCATCATGTGACCTACTCAATACTCAACCAACAGCAGCGTTCAAACAAACTGGAGGCTGCGAACCCAAGAAGAGCCCACCCAGCGGTGGGCCCCAAGCCCGTGGCGCTGCGGGCCCCCCATGGCTGCCCATGGCACACCCACACCGTCTCTATGGGGCCACGGGCTGGGCCACAGGCCATGGCTGGCCCGTGGGCGGCCAGAGTGTCAGTGATTTATGGGCCCAAACTAAAACGACCGTGTCAAAAAGTTTGGGCTTTTCTTTTTGTTATTCGCACCCGCCTCACACCACTCACACATACTCTTCGCGCCGCGAGAATCCCAATCAATTGAATAGAAACGTTTCAATTTCAAGTTTGATGTGAAGAAGAAATGTCTTTCTGTTCGTGCGGGATTTTTGTCCACAAACGACATCCGTTATACTGCATACTCATTCGGAAAAATTACGGGAGCCCGGCGCCTGCGAGACTCGGGGTAGGCCAGCCCGCAGGACACGCATGTGCTCCACGCAAGATGTTGCCTACCCATCAGGCGCCATGAGAGCTTGTGCTGCGGAGAGGCTGAACTTAACTTGGAAGTTCCGTCCCGACGAACTACGACAGACGTAGTACTTTCTGGATGATCTCTCAATGGGGTTGACGAACCACCATCTGGATTCGGGGGGGAAGGAGTTTCGTTTCGTGCGCGGGTGAACGAACCTCATGGTTGGGTTTGCGTTGCGTTGCGTCGCGCGGGGCGGGGCCCGGCGCGGGACGCTGCGCAGATTCTAATTGGCCCCGGCTGCGGTCGGTAAACAACAAGGCGCCGCGCGAAACAGGAAAACTTCTGCTTGGGTTGCGGCGGCCGTTCTATAGATAGCCGCGCGCGTTGCCGGGACAGGGTATATACGCGGCATGGATGAGACGAGTTGCTGCCGTGCGTGCGGCAGCGCTGCCACAACAAGGCATATGTCGCCGACGTTCGGGGGGGCGCGGCCCGTTCAAATCGGTTTAGCATTTGTCGAGCGGGAGAAGAGTTTTGTTTCTTTATTTCGCTTTGATGTCATTTCAGTTTGCGGCATCGCATGTCGCGGTTTTACCCGCCGGCCGCCCCGTCGTGGCCGGTCCTTAGCACACCTGTGCCGATCGACGGGCCGCGGCCGTGCCCTCCACGTTCTGGCCCGCCTCGCCCTCGCCCCGCCTCGCCCCGCCTCACCCCGCCTCGCCCCGCCTCGTCCCGCCTCGTCCCGCCCCAGCCCCACCCCGCCGCCCGCCGAAAGCCATGCTCGGGCCCCTGATGGGTGGCAAAGCCAGAGCAACAACCGTTCAGTTTTGGGCTGGATTTTTTTGCGTGGGTATTTGCCTCAAAACTTAAGTATAAACAATTGTTTGACCCGGCACCTTCCCAAAATCAAATAATTCGCGATTTTAAAATCCAAACACACTTTTGAGAATAGTGTGATGATTTTTCTTTTTTTATAGCCACAGCAACAGGATGCATGTATGAAAAAACACTTCTTATAGCGAAGGCGGGCCCTTCTCCTTCCTAGAAACAGAGGCATGTCCGGGCCGATCCCCGATCCTTGCCAGCACCAGCCCCCTCTCACCCGCCAGGCGTGTGGTGGGGCTAGAGCTGAGTGAGTTCTGGTGGCGGGCCAGGCCAAGCCTCCGAAAACTGATACCACGACCAACGGGCGGAAAAGAAACATAAAACGCGTTTTTCGCAGTTATAATTTGACTTTTCGGAATACATTTTTGACAAACATTAATTAATCCTTGCCTTTTTATTGGCACTTCAATCAAGTTCTCGTCTGAAATAGATACAGCTTTGATAATGTGATGATTCACTCCGTGCTGAAACCCATCGAAGTGTCGTCCGATATGAGTAGTATTGTCCGAAACAGCGTAGATTTGGAACAGCTGAGCCTAAACTTTCCCCACCGCGTTGTGCGTTAAAAAACATTTGATCCCGCGTCTTACAGGTTTTGGCCCAGTCCCAGAGGGGCATTGTCAGGATGTACCCCGAAGGGGGGCGTGGGGAGAGGGAGGGAGGACGCATACGCACTGAATACAAAGTACAATAAGACAGCGGCATGCCTTTGGAAGCCACTCGGCACCGCACGCTGCACGTGTGCGCGTGCAGGCAGAGATCCCGTGCAGTGCAGAGATCGCCTAGAAATATATCAAACATCATCACTTTTTTCATTTGTTGTAACAATTTCAAATGAAAGTCACTCGGAAACATCCTGGAGAATGCTGTTATTGTCTTGCAGTGTACAGGGTGGGTGATCCGCGCCGCCTTTTTTTAATGCTTATACTGTACCGGATTCACTTGTGCGGGCGGGCTTGCCTACCGTCGCTCGCCATGGCGCCTTACTGTGCCGTGCGAGTATGCGAACCGTCCGCACGTAAGAATCTGGTACGGTATAAGCATTAACAAAAATGGACGGCGCGGATCACCCACCCTGTACATATCGTCTGGGTGGGAGCGCCTGTGAACTAAGCGTAGGCCACCCGCCGTGCAGACGTGTTCACGCGTTGCCTACTCGCTCTCGTCGCCTGCAAACTGAGCGTAGGCCAGCCGCCGTGCAGACGTGTTCACGCGTTGC